ATGAAGTAAAAGTAGGCTACGTAAGTAAAATCAGAAAGGTCTCCGTTTTAAAGTGGAAGTAGAAGCATTCTGTGACTAGAATATAGTCTTTAGTTCTTAAATAAAGAGTCTCATTTTTGGGTTGTGCATCAATCTTATTATGACAAAAATATAAACTAAATGTACAGAGCAGCATCGTAGCGTGTCATTAAATATGTAACATGTTCACAGAGGTTTACGGACGGGTAGCAGTGAATCAGCTGAGCGCGTCTCAGTGAGTGTGAGCCGAAGAGGAGCAGATAAACGTGTGCTGGGTTTCAGGGAGCAGCTCGTGGAGATCCAGCTTCGGGCGTTTCGACCAGCACGCATCAGAGCCTACGTCGGACTCACTGCTGCCCGCGGCGCCCCCCTCAGTCTGGAGAAGGACACAGAGCGACCGTCAGCCCCATCCAGCGACCGGGACCTCCAGACAGACCTGGGGAACGTGAAGAGGAGTCACAACATCTTCTGGACGTAACGGCTGACAAAGGCTCACTAGGTTGTAATATCAACAAAAACAAAATGGTAACCAATTTCAACAATGTGAATACGTTCTTGAAGTAGAAGCAATTAGACTAGACTGAATTGATTTCAGATCTCTTCAGGTGTTTAAAGCACAATATAGGAATCAGTTTGCTGCACTTTGGGACGACAAAAGTTCTCTAAGTATAGCTGCACTGTTGTAAAACACAGTGCTGTTAACTCCTCCTCCTCGTAGACAACGTGCATTTGTTGACGATCAGGTTCTGTGTTGTGAGAAGCAAAAGAGCCATGTAGACTGACAAGATTCAGTAAAAATCTGACTCTGGTCTCGTCTATAGCTCGCTGTAGAGACGACTTTTTTTGTGTCAGATGGATTTTTTGATTTATTCGTTTCAAACCTGAGACAGAACTCGGGTCAGACGACTTCCTGCAGCCGGTAAAGCTGCTAAACAGATGACCTCGACCCGCTGACAAAGTTACATAGTGCTGAAAACAGGCGAGTGGGCGCTCTGTGGACATGAGAGAGTCGCCATTCTCCCCGTTGAACGTTGTCGTAATATTAAATCGACTTTGAAACAACTTTTTTAAGATGGAAAAGTTACATATTGCTGCTTTGACTGTGCACTTTGTTGATCACTCACCGATCCAAAATGGCTTCCTCCCTGCAAACTTCCACAGCCAGGTCATGTCTCTTCTGGAGCGCACGCTGGTCAGGCTGCTGTTAAATCTGAACACAAACATTAGAACAACAATCAAAACACACATCGAGAGGAGTCCTCACACTTATAGAAACAACAGAGGGGAAGTGAAATGGGATGCATGTGCAGGCAGAAAAACATAAGAGATGCAGGCCTCTGCCTTTTAGTCTTTTAAATTCACTTTTTAAATAGAGTCTATGATTTAAAGTCAGGCTGTCAGCATCAACTAGTTAATCACAATGATTAAGGTCTGAAATTAATGCATTACTTAAAGGAAACATGTAAAGGTCAAAGTGAAAATAAAAGTGTGTTTTGTGTTTACAGCAGTGAGCAGGTCCTCTCTGCACTGCCCCAGCTCGCCACAGACGTGCTGACCACGTAGCAGCGTCTCCTGTAGTGAGTCCAACCGTCGGGACACGAGCTGGTGACCGACTTCCCCGTCTGAGTAAACAAACACAATCATCATTAACACACGAGCAGCCTGTATTAGTGGATGTGAAAAATTATTTAAGTGACCCAAAATAAACAGTTGTGGTCCAAGGATCGAGCCCTGAGGTACCCCACAATTAATATTGTATAATTCAGGTTTTATATTATACTTCTGTTTTCTAATTACCTTTCTACCACTGATGTGCCACCCTCTGATACCATATTAACTAAATATCACTGTAAAATCATCACCTTGTGTTTAGGGGGCGTGTCTCTCATAGACCGTAACACCGGGAAGGTTGCGGCTGTAACTGGGGGATAAATATTTGTTCTTTTAGAAAGGTGCGTTTAGTATCCTGTCAGTGGTGGTCTTGACTGTTCTTATTTTAAATCCATAGTCTGCCAAGTCTGAGACCGAGAAAAGACTGAGTAAAAATGCTTTCGATTTCGATTTTTGTTGTATCGAGTACTACAACACTGGAATGATCAATGGTGTCAAATGCTTTTTTAAAGTCAACAAAGGTGCTTACTTAAAACTTCTTATTCTCTATTGCACTGGATATTTGTTTGGTTAATTACATTAAGTGCCACTGATGTGTAGTGATTGCCTAAATCCATACTGACTGCTGCTTAAACTAACCCTAGTATAAACCTGTCTATAAATGTTTCTAAACTGGTTTCAAATAATTTCTCTAATATTCTTGAAAACTGTGGAGGCAAGGATCCTGGTCTGTAGTTGGAAGAAACATGTTTGTCTCTGTTAAGCAGAATTACTTTGAAGTCCAGTGGATTCAAGCAGAAAACTGAAAATAAATTTGCATGTGTGTGTTTGTGTGTGTACCTTGCGCTGGCGTAGCTCTGGCTGGTTTCTGGGTTCTGGATGATCCATCTGAGGAGGGTCACCAACCGGGAGCTCCTGCAGGAGGCGACTGTGAGACCAGCGACTCCACCCAGCATCACCCGGCTTCAGCTCCTCCAGCCGGAGAGGAGTCATACTGTGGAACTGATGAAGGAGCAGAAACATATTAACCCTGTGTGTGTCTGTGTGTGTGTGTGTGTGTGTGTGTGTGTGTGTGTGTGTGTGTGTAAACTGAATCTTACCGTCCACACCTTCTCCTCAGACCTCCTCTCTCCTGACAGATGGACCTGAACAGCAGCAAAGGGGTTAAAAATATAAAACAGCACATGTAAGTATACATAGATAATATAAAAGTCCCTAAGAAAAACAGGAGTAGAGGATCACACTCACCTTTAATCCTCCTTCTCTGACCCTGTGTCCGGTGTTCCCGGTCCCTGGCTGCTGCCTGCTTTGGGGGTGGATGTGGGTGTAACCGGGGGCCGCCTGGTCCTGGGGTTCTCCCTCTCATAGTCCAGGTAGGGCCGGCGGTTTGGGACGTCTCCTCGAGGAGGGTGAGGCTGGTTCTCCCACAGCAGCTCTGCCTCGATGTCTGTGACAGGGTCCTCTTCCTCCCTCAGCCTGGGGGATCAGGGAGGCGAGGAGGAGGGAGCCGCTTCTCCTCCTCCTCCACCCTCAGGTCGTCTGGATCGCACCGTCCTTGAATATACCAAAGAGAGAGAGTTCTTTCTTTTAACTACTCCAAACTAAAAGGTTGCTCCAGGCAATCTGTCCTTGAAAAAGCTGCCGGAGTGGGCGTGTCCTACAACTTTTTTCCATGCTTTGCGCAGATACGTCGGCAGACATTGTTCTCATATTATTACGACTCAAAATCTTTAAATCTCAGGGTTTTTTTACTTTCATGTGACTCTTATACTCTGTCTTATTTACAGCTCGTCTATGATTAAATAAGTTCCTTCTAAAAGAAGATCAACAATCAACCAACAACCAACAAACTCAAACCTTAGCTCGTCCTGTTCTGAACATCGATATCTAAACACAAACATTTACATTTAACAAACTAAGGGGGAGATTTAAAAATAGATTTGGTCTTTGACAGTTTAGGAGTTGATTTTTATTTACCTCCTCTGGGGTCGATGATCTCAACCCTGGCGGAGGTCCTCTGTCCCAGGACGGCGTTTTTCGGATTTTTCAGGGTGACAGTGAAAGTCTCGTGATTTTCCTCCAGACCGTCGTCTATCAGGTAGATGTTCCAGGTTTTCACGCTGACTCCTGAACACAGAAGGTTTTACCGAATGATGCAGGCATGTTGATTTAAAGGTACATCTTCCCATGTTTCTCTAACTCTAACATGTGTCTCTGGTCCGTCTACAAACCCCCCAATGATGAGAAAAGTCCATCCTCTCCGTCTTCTCCCTGCTCCACTTTTCAGAAAATGTGTGCTCAAACAGGCCGTTTGGAGATTTTCCCTTCATGACATCACAAAGGGCAGTAGCCCCTCCCCCAGGTGGGTGACACTCCCACAGCTAGGTGTTTGTTCTGCCCTCTGAGTCTGCCTTCTCACCGTAAACAATAGGACATGGAGCGAGAAAGACCGAGTACACCCGAGCCCTTCCAGAGAGGGGGCGTGGTCAGACACAGCTCATTTACATATTTAAAGGTACAGACACAGAAACAGCCTGTAAAAGAAGCCAAACAGAGTCCTGACCTGGGTCAAACTGGATGAGAGCGGCTGTGCTGTGGGTGAAATCTCTGCCGGGTTTGGCCGATCCCTCCTCCACCTGTGTGAACAAACATGTTAAAGAAGAACCGAGCAATGATTTCGATTTATAATGACGTTAATCTTCCTTTAAACCAAGAGACAAGGTACCTGGATAGCTATGTACGCCGGGTCGACGCTCTTTCCGCTGCGTTGGATTTGGATCTGAAGCGTCCCCGCCGTCTCACAGGTTCGGTAGCAGGTCACCGACAACTCCACCCGAGACCAGGACAGGTCCAGTCTGCAGGAGACACACAGCTGAATCCTTCATATTGTCACAAGTTTTTAAGTATTTCTGAGTGACACAAGCTGAAGGTCGGCGCTGGTTACTTCCTGGTTCGATCACTGAGCTTCAATTCTGAAGAAGCCGAGTTGGTAAGATACTCGTTTGTATTTTTAACACGTAGATTCATCGTATTAAACTTTTTGTGTCTTTGTGCATGAGCGTGATCTTTCTACAAACCCACATCTCGGGCAGCGCCATGTTTCCTGCCGGGTCAATGAGGCGGAACTCGAAGCTGTCGGCCGTCACCTCCATATCGACGGGGAGGACGAACACGACGGCACGCTGGTCCACGTCCCGCTGCGTGAAACGACCTTTAATGTACGCTCCTGTGAGAACAGAAAGAGTCTTCATGAGGAACTTACTATCTCTCCCGATACTGGAGTGTTAATCTGTTGCTAGGTAACGGCTCGGCTCACCTGTGACAGCGTTCTCCAGGTATCCGAAGTGAGGCGGTCTGGTGATGGAGAACTCCAGCTCCTCCGCGGGGCTGTCGGGTCCGAGGCCTGCAGGTGTTTGGAGGTGATGAAGACGCCGTATCGACCGCCGCCCAGGTCCACCACGGTGCTGGGGCTCCTCCTGGTGGTCAGACTGGGAGGCGTCCGGTCCACGCGTTGCACCTGAACGCACCACAAGACTTTTAGCAGCTGGTTACCCAACAGGAGGACAATATTTTTACTCGATTTTTTATCCTTTATTTTATTCTCAGTGAGACACTTTTTATTTCTAAGGAGAATCGGCCATAAAAGTTTAAATTCAGACATCCTGGTACTCGATACTTTGATGAAATGTGACGGATTATTTTAAGATTTCATTATTTTTAATCTTTGAACCTCGTATGATTTTATAATTTTTTCAGTTTCATGCAACAATGAGGTAAAATAATATTTGTAACATCCAGAAATGTTGCATAAAACAACAAATGTTAACACACACATACAAAAAAAGAAGGAACTTCCTTATAGTAAGGCAGAGCTGCCCTGGGTGGTGGTCACAGGTAATGTCTGTGTGCGCTGCTGCTGAGGTCATAAAGAAGCGTCAAGCTTTAGGGATCATGCTTCATGGACGCATTTGAGGCGACATTGCGCGCCAAATTGAGGCCAAATGTAGAGGTAGGAAGGAACTGCAGGATGCTGTGTGTTGATGTTGGACACTCAGTTGGGGGTGAAAGCGTCTCTGTGTTGCCGCGTGATTGGTTCATGTGTTTTGTTTATTGAGGTGATTTGTAAATATTGGTTTTGAAGTGGTCACTGTGATTATTAAATATTGTTTCTGTCTGTGTTGTGGTTTTAAAGTTGAGTCAGGCAGAACGGAGTGAAGTGAAAACTGATGCCAATGTTTTTAGATTGGTGTGTGTGTGTGTGTGTGTGTGTGTGTGTGTGTGTGTGTGTGTGTGTGTGTGTGTGTGTGTGTGTGTGTGTAACCTTGTCGCCATTAAAGACGTCATGAACTGATTTATGAATCATGAATAAAGTTGCTTTTTGACACATTTATCTTGTGCCGATGAGTTTCTTGCAGGGGGCTGCATTTCCCTTCATTATTAATTTGAGACTCTCAGAGGTGCAGTTCTGTGTGTTCACCACCAGATGTCACTCTTGTCATGTGTTATAATCAGCAGACTCAGAGTGAGACTCACTGAGAAGCTTTAAAAACATCTTTAAGTATCTTTATGTTTAATAAAGGAAAGCTTCCTATAAAAATAAAAACACACATATATGTAGAAATGTTTGTGTGAATATGAGTCATGATGTTTTTAAAAACGTCTGCATCTTTCAGCACCTCCACGACTTCCACTAATGATTATTAATCTGCTCATTAACTCCATTGATCGGACATGAAAATCGGACACCCAAAAAAAAGATGTAAAGAATACCCCTAGATGAATCAAACTTAAACTTTGCAATTAAAAATAGATTTATAAGAAATGTACATAACCCGTGCAGGATAGAAATATATGTGAGATTTAAACAAGAACCTAAAAACAGCTGAGGATCTAGACTGAATATAAAAAATAAAAAAGTGTTGACCTTCTGAAGTTGTGATGTTTATATATGTACAGCAATGTTTGAAAAGAAGATTTATATTTATTTTTATTTTATATTATATTTATCAAATATTTATTTGATAAAAAATGGCTGAAACGTTTGAGTGCTCTGACTTTGTTTCCAAGTGTTTATTTGTGGATTCATGTTGGGTCAGCAGTAACAGAGATGTGATCACAAAGTGTCACTAGGGGTTCAAGGGGCTTTGACCTTTGACCCCTCAGTTTGAGCTTCCAAAGAAAAAAAGAAACAATCCACTGAAGTTGGGGGGGGGGGGATCTGAGCAGAGACTGACTGGGACAAATATGACCCTGCCTCTTAGATCGGTTTCTTAGCGTGCGTGTGTGAGGGTTGGAGCAGTTTGGACAGTTATGACCCTCCACCTCTGAGCGTTGACTGTACCGTCCCCCCACTCTCGCTCATCTCTCGCTCTCACGCTGTGAACCCACTTCACACACACACACACACACACACACACACACACACACACACACACACACACACACACACACACACTGCTGGGTAGGAGGCAGAGCTGCACAGTTCACAATAATCATGATCACTACATAAATATGACGCAGGGTCTTAACAACAGACCAGGAATTTGCAGCCCCTGGTGGTGCATGAAGGTACTGCAGGTGTTGGCTGTGAGAGGTCAGAAAATATAATTATTTTGCTTTTCAAGATTAAAGATTAAAGCAGGCTGAAGCTATATGAGCCACCTGCTGATACCTGCATGATAAATACAGATACAATAAGATGAACCAGAGTCACTGCAGCCTGAGAAACAATCACAATACTCTGAAATATATATATATATATAACACTTTTCTTAATTTTCTCGCTGAGGTACAAGATTTATTTTCCAAGAGAGTCCTGAACCAGAGAGCAGCATCAGAGATTCACACAATAAACAAACTTTACATCAATCAACCAATCAGAAGCCTCCAGCAGAGAAACATGTGAATACAGTGGTCAAATGATCCTTTATCCTGCTTTTTAAATCTTCCAAGCCGATTAAACAGACTCTGCAGCTCAGACCGAGACGATGGTGCTAACACACTCAAAGCGCTTTCACCAAAGTGAGAGAACGTTTTGTTGAGATCTGATCAGGAAGTGTCGTCAAGGGGCGCTGCGCCACAGATGAACATGTTTTAATATCTGAACAGCAAGCGTGCTGCGCTCACCTCAACAGGGTGCAGACGCGCTCTTGCACTGCGCTACACATAGACAGTGAATGGGTTTTAGAGTGGCTCGCAGCGCCCACCACATCCTTTCTGAAAGGACGCTCATCGATGCCTTTGGGGCTGCGCGTGTTTAAGGGCGGATAAAATAAGTAGGGAAAATTGGAATATAGACTAAAGAGTCACTAATTGAACTAACTGAGGCCCCTGTCGACTCATCCTTAACATACTTATTAAGAAGACTTTTTCTAAATCACAACATCTAATGACCATGAACTCATACAGCTTACAGTCACTTAGTGGACTCTGCAGGTCTCTGGTTCTGGCTCTGATCGGCTGTGTTTTGTGCAGATCGAGGCCCTGAAGGTCTTCAGTCAGGGGGAGCTGGTCTCCTGGTTCATGGAGCACAGAAACGGCAGCAGTAGGAGGCTCAGCGTGCACGTGAGTCTGTTTGTTGAGTTGACGTCATGAAGGTTTGTAAATCTCTCGTAGACTGAGTTTGAACCCTTTTGTCCCCCCCCCCCCCCCCCGGTGTGACTAGGTGGTCGGTTTCGGCGTGGAAGAGAACGACCCGCCTGAGCAGAGTGTCTGCTGGCAGCCAGGACAGCCCCGACTCCCCCCTCCTCCTCGGCATACGGGGAGGTGAGCGAGCTGAACTCCTGCCTGCCTCCTCGCCGGCGCTTCCAGGACGTCACGCTCATCTCAGACATCAGAGCGTTCACCTCATCCCTCCCCCTCCACCCATACCACAAAATTCAGCTAGGTCCGGACGGACGGTGAAGGTGAAGAAGCCTCGTTCACTCTGTCAGTGTGTCGGGGAAAATAAAGTTACCATTGAAACAGCTAGCATCCATGTTTGATGAAAGAGGATGGAACACCTTGAGGAACTTTTAACGCGCGTTTAGTTTTATTGTGAGTGTTTGTAAAATGCTGCGTTCATGTCCTGTGGGAAAAACAAAAGATCTGGGCCTGTATTTATCACACACGTCGTCATCAGTCCCTTTAAAATCCTCTGAAGAGCTGCATGTTCATAAAAAAAAAAATACTATATGTAGCTTAAAGCTCTGCAGTGTGCAAAAGCAAAAAAAAAAAGAGGCTGACTATAGCGTGCTGTTTATATGCAAAGGTAGGACGCTTACTTTACCTAATAATGACTGTTACTAATAAGCTATTTGCACTAACTAGGCCAGCGGACAATAACAACTCAAAACGCTTTCTATCATGACAGTAATGCTTAACACAAACAGTAATAATGATGCAAAAGAAGTTTTAATTGATGTAATTAACACCACGATCAAACACCTTTCCTCTGTCATTAACTCGATCAACTTTATTAATCCCACATGAGGAAAGTTGGGTCGACAAGCTGTACTTAGAACACAAACAACAATCAGTTCACATACTTAAATATGGAATCAGTTCTAACATTAATTCTGAACAGAAGAGCTGAGCGAACATGAATCAGAACCTGTTTTTACTCCTTGTTCACGTGGTAACGACCAGTTTGTGATTAATTATTTCAAGAAGTCGACTTGTCTCGTATCGTCAGAGCAAAAGCACGAAACGGTTATAGAAAATGTAGCGTAGAACTTGGTGTGTTCAGCCCGTGTTCACTGAGCTTTTTTTTTTTCTGAGCGCCTCAACTTTTTTCAATTGTTTTCAATGAGGAGAGAGCGTTTCCAATGAGGAGAGAGCGTTTCCAGCAGCAGACGGACACCCGGAGAAAAAGCGCAGTGCTGCTCAGTGTTTTTTTTCCGGGCGCTCTGCCTTTTTTTATGCAGTCCCCAAGCACTGAAGCTAGGGTGAGCCTAGAGCATGT